TGTATGAAGGAAAAATAATTTTAAAAAATTGAAAAATATATATTTCCGATTAACTAAAAAAAAAAAAAACATAAAGTTTAAGAAATAATTGAAAGTGTTTAATTTGAATGAATGAATTTTCAACTAATATTTGAATGAAAAATAATTTTAAAAAATTGAAAAATATATATTTCCGATTAACTAAAAAAAAAAAAAACATAAAGTTTAAGAAATAATTGAAAGTGTTTAATTTGAATGAATGAATTTTCAACTAATATTTGAATTAAAACTATGTTTTTATATTTAATTTTCTTTTTGCCCCAATGGAAACAGTTTTTATTTAGCTTTAGGTCATTTAATGTATATCTGGGTTTTTTTTTAGTAAAAATAGCTAGTTAAAAGCTCATTGCGCTTAGAACTTGTTCACTTTTATTTATTATCATTCCACAAACTTTTCAAATCTTCCGGCGCATATAAAATAATGTTTGAATTATCTAGCAGCTAGATGAAAGTCGTTTAGATTGGACAGACATAAATATCTCTAAGTAATATACAATTCATGGAGATTACCACCAACAGAGGATTTTTAAAGGTCTTCCAAATGATTCAGCCACATGGAAATGTGTGTGTTTGTGTGTGTGGTTAAGAGCTTATCAGTTGCCTCAACAGGTTGTCCAAAGCCGCAAATCCATCGACAGGTGAATGGAATCATCAAATAAAACACCTAATAAATTTATTGTATAAATAGTTTCAGATATATACAAATTTACATGTATATATATTTATTGATGCATATACAGTGAACACTCTGTTGATGTCCCGCTACATTTCAATCTCTCTCAACATATTTGTATGCAAAATTTTAAAAAACCTCCATTCGTTGAGAATGGCGAGGCAGCGTTCGTTCAAAAGAGCTTTCACTGTACACTGGTGTTTCTCTATATTTGTGTACAAATGCCAATAATCGAAATAGTTCAGTGATCTATATTTACAATCAAACTAGAAATAAACGTTGAGAACATCATATAAAAAATTACAAACAATCAGTTTTGCACGTGTTTTGTGTAGGATAACAGTCTAAAACCGCATTGAATATACATATGTATATACATATATATATTGCTACATACATATCTCCTATAAATATATATATTATGAATGTATGCATAGCACATGCAGTAAACACATATTACAATTTTATTGCATAATTATTTTTGTTTTTTTTTTTAATTTTTTTGGTTTTTTTTTTTTTTTTTTTTTTTTTTTGAAATTCGACCTTCTTGTTGTGAGTGGGTTTGTCCTAGTTGTTTGTAGGCATGCAGTGTGGACATTTCTGATCGATCCGCTCATCATATTTACAAATCTTAACGTATCGATAAGCACATCGATTGCGTTGATCGAGTGTGGAACGCGGGTGATTGTTTGGAAAAGTACCGTTACCAAACGTCTTCGGCTGTCAGTAAAAAAGCACAGAATGGAGAATCACACGATTTCTTCGCTCCTCAAATTCTTGTATCATTTCATCGATATCATTATCGATATCGTTCGATTTCGCCAACTGCAAATTCAGCAAATTAGCCAACACTCGAATTGCAAATTATAATAAATAAATAAATAAAACACGCTTCAAAATCAAATTACCAAATTAAGCATGTCCGTTATTAAAAAGGCACCCATTAGCGCATCCTCGGCATTGTCAACGACATCCACATTTAGCACATGAACGGGACGATTATCAACCGACTCCATCGACTCCATGTGCATCACAACCAAATCGTAAACACGCTCCTCTACCGTAATTATAATATCAAATTGTTCTTTGGTTTCTTGAAATCGTTCGGGGCACTTTTTGATGCGACGATTGCGGTCGAGCATATGCAGCAAACCATTCTGCGTGTAACTGTAAGAGCAAAATCGACCAGTTGAAAGTTGATCAATTGAAAATTGATGATGAATGATTCATAGGTACAGATTCGGGCAACTTACAATTCTTTGTCCTTAGCCTCTAGATCGCGATAAATTTCCTCGTAGCTGGTGCCGAATTCATAAACATTGGGTTTATCAAATGCGAGGCCGGGCAGCTTAACCCGTTCACCGGTGCCGTAGGAGCGCACGTTGAAGCCCTTTTTGGCTAGGAAATTGTGCGCTTCCATAGAGCGATTCATGTTCGATGAACAGACGACAGCAACGGATAGCTTGCCCGGCGCAGTCATGTCTGTTTTGGCAGTGTATAGAATTGCTTTACAAACCACTATAAAATACGACTTTCAGATTATCAACGGAATGACGATGGCCTTCGTCAATAATATTACAATGCGTGAGGTAAGGCGATAAATAATGGCGGCCGGCCGATAGACAACAGTGCTGCTTAACAAATACAGTGCCACTGAGTGTGACCATATAATAAACATAACACCTATATTGAAATGTCTGGCAGCACCAGCTGCCGGTTTGACCGACTGTTATAAAAGCGTTACATATATGAATATGAAAGCCTATAAATATTTTACGTGTATTTATATCTATATGTTTTGCAAATGATTTAATATTAATCAACATTTGTATAGCATATAAATTGATACATAAACATATGGAAGAATATGTGGTTTCAGTAGCACGACTTTCATAAGCATAGATAGAAATGTGTACGTACTACGTATGTATAAACTTTACATGTGCTATGAATGCTTGGTATGCACGTTGAAGTAGACACAGAATGTTGTTATGTGGCAAGTTACGGGCAGCAAACAGACGCCAAGCTCCCTAGGTAATGCAAAAGAGTGCACGCCCTGTGTCCCATCCAGATCCAGTCGGAACTCGAGGAATGTGGCTTAGCAAGTTGAAGCTGTTGCTGTTGCTTTTGCTTTTGGTCGGTGGCACACCAACACGCGCTCGATTTGCCTATACCCTATACGCACACACACAGATGCAAATGCAGATGTGCAACATAGACAGAGCGCCGATCAGGTTCAGGTTATTTGCTTGCTGCACAGTGGATTCACATATATATATTGGGAGTGATACAAAATATATAAATTGCTGATTCACAAGGGAAATCAAATCTTAATATTAATTAAACATATATATTTAAATTTAAATATATTATCAGCTTTAAGTAAGATTCTCATTTTTACTCTTGCTAATACATTGCTACCACTGTGCCGCGGTGTTTGTTATTTTAGCGTCAGCCTTGTGTCCAGCGCGCACGCTGACTCGATGGCTCGCTCTATCTCTTCCCTACGCACACAGACTCGCAGACGTGTATATGTTGTATATGTGTTGCCTTGTTAACTGGTTATGCGAATAGTGGAAGCAGCAACATCAACATCAACAGCAGCAGTGGCAACGGCAACGGCAGCAGCAGTAGCCCCTGCGGCTAGAACCAACGGCTGATGCCGACTGCGGTTCGGCTTCGTGTTCGGGAATAGTCGTTGATAGTCGTTGTTTGTCACTTGATCGCTCATCGTTCACTTGTCGCCCGCTCTATTCACACACACACACGCGCAGCCATAGCATSCACATGCACGCACCCATACATATGCATGTATGTTGGGCAGCCTGTCTCTTCGCTTGACTCCGTTTTGTTTTGCTCGTGCTCGTCCAGTTGCTGCTCGTGCCTCAAACTCGCCGCGTCGCGTTTTCGCTCCACGCTCTCTCGCGCTCACTCTCTCTGAAAAATGCCGCTGTTGAGGCACAGCCAGGCCTAGACCCGTCCCGTTCATCGATACACACACACACACCTAGCCAGCCAGCCAATTTTTCAATTAATTTTGAGCTACTCAAAATATTATTTAGCCATGGCTATGCAAATGTCACAGCCGCGCAACGGAAATTAAAGAAACAACAAAATCAAAGAACACAAAAAAAAGCTTAAGAAAACAGAAAAAGAAAAACATAAATAAAAGGTAAACTTGTTTAACAACTCGCCAAAATGCATTACAGTGTTTACCATACAGACACACACAAATACATACACATGTATCTACATATTTTTTATTTGTTATTTTTTCGGTGTTTTGTGCATGTGCCAAATTGCAAGGTAATCAAAATTTCGCCTCAAACCATCTGCGAAGTCAATGCAAAAAAAAAAAAACTGTAAGCAATACAGGCAAAATTACTTAGTCGAAGCCGAAATACTCTACCTGCTGTAGAGATACGCAGCAGAGTTATTCTTTAAAGAAACTATACAAGCTGTAGTGGATTATAAGATACAAATGCTTAATCGAAACTGACAGATATACGATACAATTTGGCCTACCTGTTAAGGCTTCAGCTAAGATGAGCTGGGAGTGGATATACTATAATAAGTATACGATATAATGTATAGACAATATATAATTAGGCTGATAAAGCAATTTTGTTAGATATAAATAATTGAGAAATTAGGCAATATATGCACTCTATTGAAGCTAAAATATCGTGATGTTTGGTAAACTAGGTGCAATGTGTAATGTCGGTATACGATATTCGAGAAACGATATGCAATATACGCCATTCAATATACCATAATCAATACGTCATTCAGCTCGTATAGAACCAATTTCGGAAATTTACTTATGTAAACTTCAGCTAGAAGATGCATAATATGGGATGATAATATGGGATGTAATACGGGATCGAAATACGATATTCAAAGAATTCATTGTATGGTATTCAGACATTTATACTCCAGATTCGAACACCTTTGACAGTTGGCTTCGAATTGGAACGTTCTTTGGAGAAACAATTTCAAGTCAAAACTAAAACTTGAATTAAATGATTATATCAATAAATGATATATCTATAATACTATATACTACACATACATACATATAAAATATTAAAAAGGGAGACATCATACGGTACACGATATCCCTTTGACAGAGCTATATTCACTTTCATTTTCTTCCTCTCTCTCTCTTTTTCGCCTTATGTACATACCTATATCAAAAACTCTCCAGCTAGACAAATCCGATGAATTATCGTATAAGCCCATTTGCGGAAGCGTAAAAAGAGAGTCAGCAAAAAAAAAAGCGCTTAATTAATACGAATTGTGGCTTCTACCTAATTATGCCAAGGACTTTGTTCAAGAAATTTTGGGGCTGTCAAAAGAAACGTGATTTGATCAGAGTTTGGTTCTATCCGAAAGACAGTATGTAAATGGAGCGGTTAAGGAACTTGGCTCTACGTGTCTCTAGCCACTTAATTCTCATTTCTCTGGCGCAAACTGAGCGTGCGAATGCTTCGGCTTCTGCTTCTGCTKCTGGCATTCGTATCTGTATCTAAGTATCTGACTAGCTGGGTGTATCCAAGCTGTATCTGAGTGGCTCAGCTTTGGCCGTGGCATGATAAACAGCGCTGAAGAAAGCCATTAAAACGGTGCAGACCTAAATGAGTGGGGGAAATTGAAGAGCAGGCAAGAGAACAGAACAGGCAGAAGAGCCAAGAAGATAAGAGAGGAGAAGAGTAGAGCTGTCAAGAAGGGGCCAACTAAATGCCGATCGTACACTTTATGGGGCCAGAATCGAGACTCGAGACTCCAGACTCCAGAGATTCAGCTAGAGAGGTAAATCTTGGGCAGTGGCAAAGAGTTTTGAGAAAGTTGTTTTCGGCTCGATATATGTACATATATGTAGCTTGTACTTGGCGTTGTTTTGCTTTAAGAAGTTAAGATTTGTAGAGAAGCAGAGAAGAGAGAGAAGGAGAGAGAGAGAGAGAGTTCGATTGAGAGAGTGAGTGAGACTGAGACGGAAAAAAGGACTGTTTCAAATAGTTTCTTCTATTAAGCTTATTCTATACTATTCCAAATGTATTTCCAAAGATCTTTTCATAATAATGCTGTGGATATAGGGCGATTCCGCTTATTCTTCACACAAATATAAGTCAGCTCTAAGTAATAGAGTAGCTTCTAACAATCCTTGTGCCTGGTAATTCCAGTTGACTCTCAGCTTCCATGAATACAGTCCTAATGAATATCCTCTAATGCGAGTCCTACTTCCATTTTTTACTTTTCCTTCACAATGCACTTTCGGCGTAGTTTTTATCTATTATAGTCTCTATTTTGACTGTTTGACAGTCTGACAGTTTCTGTCTTTCGGTCACYTTTCGCAGCAGAAGAAGAAGAGCTCTAGAGTTCTTCTCGATATTTTCTCACTGAATATGAAAAGCAATCATAGCGAGAGCAGAAAGCATTTGTGTTGATTAAAAAATAATATTTTTTTGTTCTTCATCCATATTTTTCTATCTCTAAATTGTCATTGCTATTACATCATTTAATGTCATCATTATTAGTCATTATCATCATTTCTGTGCTTACTATCGTAATCGTGATTGTCATTAATTAGTATGCACTCATCATTGTATCATTCATTATCATTGATATTATTATCATTGTTATTAGAATTATTACTATATTTACTAGGTTGAATAATAATTATAGTTAAAAATTACACTATGATTTTAGTTGTCTTATCTTTGTCTCTATCATCATAATCATGATGGTAATCATTATCATTATCATTAATTTATTAATATTCTCTTCCTGATTGAAGTTCAGTTAACGTATTTTCTATGATTTTAGTGTTCTCATCATCATTATCATTATCATTACTGTTATTATAATGAAAATATAATTTCTATTGCATAGACTTCCCGGCACACGGCATTCATTATGTGAACCATCCATGGAACATTGCGTTGCGGAGCAGACTTAGCCAGCCAGCAGGAGCAGCAGCAGCAGTAGCAGGTGCCACTGGCAGCAAAGCGTCATAGTCGAAGCGGAGGCAGAAGAAGGAGGAGCAAAGCAGGGGAGGGGGAGAGAGACAGAAGGCTCTCAACTAGCTGGACAGGAAATGCTGAAGCACGCCTCAAATGCGAGCAGCGCCACAGCCGCTGCGCCTGTCAGCGGACAGCTGCTGCGCACTGCCAACAACAACAACAGCAACGGCAATGGCAATGGTAACGGCAATGGTAACAGCAACGGCAGTGGAAACAGCAATGCCAACAACAGCAATTGCAATGGCAACAACAACAACAGCGGCGGTAATCCACCCTCAGCGGCGGTGGCCGCGGCAACAGCAACCACCACCATTGCCACGAGCCCCGTGCCAAACGTAGCAGCAGCAGCAGCAGCCGCAGCAGCGGCGGCAGCGGCAGCGTCGGCGTCGGCGGCAGCAACTGCTGGCGCTTCACCGACACCGGTGGCAGCTGCCGTGGCTAGCACGGCACGCAACATACACCTGCGGCCGCCACAGCCGCTGAACATATCCGCACTCAATGCATCTAACTCTATGCTGAACGGCGGCGTCCGAAGTGTTGGTAATGCGTCGACGTTGCTCAATATTGCTACGCAGGCGCCTATGAAACCGCTGACGCCGCTCACGCCCAACGGCAATTGCAATGGCAACAGTCTGCATCATCACACCTACACGAATCAGCACATGTTGGCCAGCAGCAGCAGCAGTACGCATCAACAGCAGCAGCAGCACCAACAGCAACAGCAGCAGCAACCACTACACCTGCCCCAGCATTCCCTCAACAACAACAACATCACCAACATTAACAGCAATATGCATAATTATAGCCACTGCAACAATTTGGGCCTAAATCCAAATTCGGTGCTGCAGACGACTGTAAAGCCAACCAAACATGGTCCAGGACCACGCGAAGTGTTGACCAGCTTGGGTTTGCTTTGTTTAGGTAAGTGGCAGCACTTTTCAGCTAACTGACAGCACTCAAAATATTTGAAATTGTCGTTGCGATATGGCAGCACTGAGTAAAATTTGTCAGCCTAGCATAAGCATTCAGTTAGTCAGTGTGATTCCAGCATAAAAAATTTTATATAATAACAGCGTTGCCATCTTACAGTTTTTAGTGATGGGTTTAAATACAATGCGGCCATCTAAGAATAAAAATTCAAAACGCGAGACTTCTACATATAAATTCTTCATTCTTTTCTTTACAGTTTCACTGCTGTTGGCGCTGCTCTCACTGATCTTTCTGCTAAAGATCTCGCCGAACACCCGTGAAGATACGGTGATACGCAGCATCAATGGCGACGACTTCATTATTGTATACGATGTGACTCTGGCACTGTGCGCCCTGTCGCTCTCTCTGAATCTCTGCTGTCTGCTGGTCTGTGCGATACAATTTCTCTTTGCGGTGAAGCTGCTGCGCTCGCCCATGTTCGATGGGCGCGACAACAAGTACTTGGAGAAGTCGAGTGCAAGCAGGACGTGCGCTGTGAGCGGATTCTTCATCTCCATACCTGTCTTTCTCACCGGCATCATACTGTACACCTTCAATCATTTTCACTCAACACCGGCGATCATCACCAGCATTCTGATTGGCATTGGCATCGTTTTCTGCGGCTGTGCGATGGTGCACAACGTTTTCGTGTGGCAGAAGGAGAAGACGATCAGCTACCGTACGCCCCCTCTCAATATGTCGCTGCACTTGCCGTCAGTTCAGCTGTTCAACAGCAGCGTTTGTCCACCTGTGTTGCCGGTCTACGGGCAACAGAATCATTCCATGATGCAACATCCCACTTCAGTGACTCCCGTTTCTCCGAATCATTCACATGGCAGCTTCAATCCGTTGCTCTGCACCAACAACAATAATAATAATACGAGCGGCATTATCAACTCACCGTATCTCGTGCGACCGGCTACAGCTACGCCGCCAACGCCCAAGCCGATATCTATTGCGGCCAATGGCAGCTGCCTGATGGGACGCGAGGCTAGCGGATCGATTAGTCCGGGAATACCGCCAACGCTGGACATGAGCAATATAACTATTTCACTGCATGAGCTGTCTACACTGGTCTAAGCCCAGTGCACCACGTCAGAAAATACAGTTAGGCAAAATAAGTTTTAGCTACTAAGTTAAATTTAAACACACACATGCATATGCGTATGCATGTGCGTAGCTGTAGACGACATCCACCGTAAAGTGTTTAGCTTTAATGATGTCCCACTTGCCGCCCTGTTGCCGTTTATGTTTTAAACTGTTGTATATATTTGTATATTGTTATAATGAATCACAAATTTATATTTAATATATTTAAATACTGCGCTCAATTCAAGCGATTAACTCATTTGCTTCGTACATGCATCTATCGATATATCGATACTGCACCCAACCCACCAAATAGCTCATTGCTATGACACGTCCCCTAACAGTCATTGCATTTCAAAAATATAAAACACTGGTTTTTTATTTAACATTGCATAGATACTTTCAACTTCGGTATATAATTGTATATATCTATATTCAAATTTAATAATACACTTCAATAGAGTTATAACTTCTGCGTTCACCTTGTTGAGCTCCAGGGTCACTTGCAGTTCTATAACGATGCTATCGATATATTGTGCAAGAACAAACGATTGGACGACACCAAACGCTCAACAGTTATTTTCCTTTTTTTTGTTTTGTTTTTCATCCTCTTTGATAACATTTCAGTATATATAACTTTGCCGCTTCCTGGCAATTTGAATTCAATGAACAATCCAAAGAAATTTAAAGAAAAAGAAAAAATGGTGTTTCTATCAACTATAGCTAAATAGGTTGTTGTTCTGTAGGTGGGAAAGACTACTTCTTGGCTCGTCCACGTTTCTTGAGGGGCACACTGGAATCGCTAACTGTAAATAAAGTGTAAACTTTTAGTTGATCCAGGCAGGCAAATTTCAGGCAAGTCGAGTAGTTACCAGTGGACCGAGCTGACGATGATGCCGCAGGTTGTTCCGCGTCAGCCTCGGCAGTACTGCGTCGACTGCGCAGATTCCTTGGCGCAACATCCTGCTTCGGAGGCTCTTCTGTGCTGGGTTTCAGACGACGCTTGCCTTTGGCTGGAACTACAATAGCCATTGGCGAAGGTGGTTCACTAGTGCTGCGCAACTTGCGTTGCGGTGTTCCGCTGTCCACATTCTGCACAGCTGCTTCTAAAGCCGGAACGCTGGCCGCCGACTGGCCGTGCTGCCTGCGCGAACGTGTGCGTGGTGTGGTTGACGACTGGCCTTCGGCAGTCTCGTCTATCACCTCTAGTGGACGGGGCATCATCTTCGGGCGACGCTTGGGCGTAGACACCGGCACAGTAGAAATCGGGGGCAAGGAACTGCCGCGCAAAATGCGACGTTTGATTGATGGATGTTTGGTCGGGCCAGGACTGTCTGTTGTACCACGTGAAGCTTCCGCATCGGTCTCCGGCAGCTGCTCCTCGGCGACCGTTCCATAGCTGCTGGCGCTGCGCAAACGCAAGCGCCGACGATTTAGATTTAGAGAGGGGGATGGTGTGCTGCGACTGGATGATGCACTTCTGAGATTGTCGTCACTGCGAAGGCGTATTCTGCGCTCCGGGACGGGCGGCGTGCCGCTCAGGCTGCGGCGTGTGCGTCTTGTGCGCGTCAGTGCCGGCAGCGAAATGTCCAGTGACTCCTTCTCCTCCTCGGCCTCAATCTCTTTATCGGAATCCAGATCGATGGGCTGTGTGGCGCTGTCCACTGGGATGGGCTGTTGAATTTCCAAGGGCTGATCCTGTTCCTTCGCCTCAGCCTCAGTCACAGTCAGTGTCTCCACCGACGGCTTATTCTCCTCGCCCTCGTCTACCATCACCACATCCGTTTCTTCCTTATCGGAAAGCAGTAGCAGGCTAGGATTCGAGTCCATGTCGGAGTCCAGATTGATGGCAATTGAATCAGCTGGATCGATAGCGCTTTGGGTAGGTGCCACTGCTTGTTGGGATGTCACTGGAGCTTCCTCTCCTTCATCCACATTCATTGGCATCTCCGGCTCCTGTTCTTGCTGTTGATCCTGCTTCTCCTGCTGATCCTTGTGCTCGCTGAAGGCAACTGTGGCCACGGACTCATTGCTGGAGCCGACAATGGTGGTAACCGTTGCCACTGCCGGCTGCACCTCAACGCTGTCCACGCTGTCCAAGTTGATGGTATAGGCCATTACTGAGTCACTGTTAGCCGTGGCGACCAATGAAGGACATGGCGCTTGGTTGGCCTGCTGCTCCGTTTCGTCCTGTTGCTTGAAGGCAAACAACTCCGCGCTGTTGCAAGCAGCCACAGGCTCGGCACGCGCCACATAGCCTCGCACCTCGGTGCCATCGAGCGCTATGACACACTCATCCTCCTCATCCACATCGTCGTCCTCCTCCAAGGAGCCCTTCGTGGTGTCCAGATCATCCACCGTTTCCAAACTGTTTGCACGGTAGAGCGAACGATTCGAGCCGCCCTCGCCACCTACACCATGAGCACGTGGGCTGGAGTTCTGGGAGACATTCGTGTCGCTGGGCAGAAACGAGTTGGGCGTATGGGAGGCGGGCGAACGTGAGTCACTAATAGAATTGGTGGACTCCACCACAATTGAATAAACGGGCGCATCCGTGCGTGGCGAGGACAAGTCGGAGAGTTCGCTGCTTACGCTATAGCTGGGCGAGCCACGATTGAAGGAAAGTGGAATAGTTGTCTGGTCGAAGCTAGACGATGTGCATTGCTCCTGCTGCTCCACGTCGTCACGAGCATCCACCTCTTCGTCGACCTGTGACGCATGTGGCTGCGATGGTGCCAACTCCTCGTGGCCCACCTCCAGCTCTTCCTCATCCCCTTCCACATCATCGCCTTCGGCTTCAGCTTCGGCTTGGGCCTCGACTTCAGCTTCGGCTTCATCTTCGTCGTCGTCCAGATCTATGTAGGCCAATGGACTTGCTTGGTTACGTGATGGAATGGATTCAGCCTCTGGTTCCGGTTCTAGTTCTGGTTCTTCGTCAGATTCTACCTCTGGCTCTGGTTCTGATTCCGGCTCTGGCTCTGACACTGTCACTGGCAATTCCACTGCCACTGGCTCTGGCTCTGTCTGTCCGACCCTCTCCGTCCCCTGCTCGGCCATGGCATCTATTGCTGTCATATCATAGGAGGACATGCCCAGCGTCGTGTCCAGCATTTGCGGCATTGGTTTGTCAGCTGATGAACCAATATGGACTGTTTGCCCCAGGGCGGATGGCATGGACCAACCTGTTGCCGAGCTGCTCGGCTCATCCATGTCCCCGCAAATGGTCGTTCGCTCCGAGATCTTCACCTGATAGGTGATACTGGCTACCTTTGATGTGCTCTCGCACATTTTCGAGGAGCAAACAGGCGGCTGAAATGCATTCAGCTGCAGCGATCCGGCTGTGCTGCCCGTTTGTACAGTGGCAAAGCTGCCAAAGCCGCTGCTCAATGAGCTGCGTGGTTGAGGACCAGTTGGTGGTGCCATTGTGAATGGACGTGGCGATTCTTGTTGCTGTTGCTGTTCCGGTTGCTGTTTCGCTTCCAGTTGTTGCTGCGACTGTTGCTGCTCCCGATTGCTTCCACTGAATGAAGCAAACGAAGCATTCGCCGAGGCCAACGGCGACATATACTCGGATTCAGTGTCCGAGATGTTATTTTGTTGCTGCTCCGGTTCGGCTTCAGGCCTGGTGGAGCTATCTAATTGTTGCTCGATTTCCACAAATATTTCATCTCCATCCAAGTCCGAGACGGTCTGTTCCTCCTCGTCCATCTCCATCATTTCCACATTCTGCATTGACTGGTCCAGCGGTATGGGCGGCAGGAAGCTAAAGTTTGGACGCTGCAGTGACTGGCGTCGAGACAAACGTCTCTTCAGTATGGCGGGACGCTGCTCCCGCCTGATGCCCGTTGCCGACTCAGCATCTGATTTGGATAACAGATAGCTGGGCGGGTGCAGCAAATCATTGGCCAAGCGCAAGCCATGCAGATCCAAATTCATTGTGTGCTCTTCATACCGCATTACTTCCTGCGATGAATTGGCAAAGTTGGGAACGGTGTCATCTTCGACCAGAAGGCGGCGCCGCTTAGAATGCGGGCCCAACGTTTCGGCAGTGGAGCTCGGATAGAGACGCTTCTCGGCGCATTGGTATGGTGTGGGACGCACATGTCGGCGCAGCTGTGGCACCTCCTTAAGCGTCTGCGAGGCAGTCCGCAGGAAAGGCATATTGCGGCTGTCCAATCTTAGGGACATTTGCTCGTTGGGGTAGCGCGTCGCCCAATGGGCGCTCAGAGCGGAGCTCTGAAAGATGTCGCCCATCTGACCGGTGGCGTGCTGCTTGGCCAGCTGACAGCTGAACGGCTCCGGCGAGAAATTCGTCAAGTGATTCCCATGCAGCTTGTCGCGTATGCGGAAATATGTGCCCGCTATAGATTGGGTGACGGGCGCCATGGTTGTCCGGTAGGCGGTCAGGATGCCACTTGTCTCGTCGCTCTGTTCACGCTCCGCGGCCACCTCGTCCATAAAGGACACCGCTTCGATATACTTGCAGCGCTTGAGCAGCAGAATCAATTGGATGCAGTCAGTGGCGCGCGTCTTGCACTGTCGCAGCTGGCGATAGACGAGCTGCTCCTCATTGTCGCGCAGACAGAGAGTGGCCAGGACACTGAATTTGCTTTCCATGATGCAATGCTGAAAGAAACGCTCCAGCAACGGACGACCCTCATCGTCCATGTAGACGCGCGCATGATGGAATGCCTCCGGTATATTATTGTTGGCCAAGAGCACCTGCAGCTTAAGTTCAGAGGAAATAAATCCAGGTGGCAAATGCACCACTTGCATTGCCGCCGGAGTGGCATTGTAGCGGATCAGCGTTTCGATCAAATGCTTCGTCTGCCATTCGGTATAGACGCTATGCCCGGTGCGTCCTCTATACAAAACGTCGATTGCCATCTACGAAGGAAAGAGCGAGAAAGCTAATGTGAGAAGACTTCAATTAGAAAGAGACAGCCAGCTAACCCACCTCGTGATCGCCTTTGTCCAGAAACCAAAAGGAGCGCACACACTTCACCAGTGGCTCGTCCAGGCCAAATGACATGGCGAAATCGTTGTACAACTCGTGTTTACCGCTCTTGTAGAACTGATCCAAATCCGACATCACATATAGCATTAGCTCGTGTTTCTTCTCCAAGTTGACGTCCTGCAGCAACATTAAACGCATCAGCGTTTGCAGCGACTGGGGCGGATAGAGTCCATCCTTTTTATGCTGTTTCTGCAGTTCAGCCTGGAATCCATAATGGCGCATCAG